ACAGCGTTTAAGTCATAATCTATTGATTTCTCGGACGATTTTTTTGTCAACAGCATAGGACAGGGTTTACCTAAAATTTTGTGACATCCTCTAGCGGTAAACGGCTAGTTCATTGGAAAGAGACGATCTGTATTCTTCCCACAACACATTTCCACAAAAGTCGCCTGGCAAGGGCATGATCAATGTTTGATTCCTCGGTCCCGATGAGTTTTCTCGGTAAGGCTGGCTCGCGCCGCCGCCGCCGCCGATGACCCACAAACAGACCACTTCTGAGGGCGATTGCCCTCCGGTCGGTCACCATTTTCACAACTGCACCAGGGAATCAACCTTGGCCATAGCGTGAGGAAAGCTTTGAGATAATCGGAGCAATGGCTTCTGAGATCAGAGTATTCTAGTTTTGCACGTCAAATTTCTGGCATGGTTTCGAAGGTAAATGACAGAAGATTAGGAAACCATGTTACCCCCTCCTTCCACACAAGCACCTTTATTTTATGTTTAACTGATTAGTGAAGTACTAAAACTGATAAGACCAATTTTCAAAAAGATGAATTATTCTAGGTCATTTTTATCATTGCCAGTTTGTACTGTCAGCCTCCATTTTTGCTATCTTATCAAAAGCTCAACAGTTAACATGCATGACCAAACATAATCCCTGCCCTTTTGATCTCACATGTTCACTGAGCTCACATCTGAACTCAAACATAATAAGTGATGCCTCACTCATGCCACTGAGTGACATAACACCTGGAAAGTCTTCAGGTGGCAGTTGATGCAAACAAAATATTGCATGCATGATGCTCTGATGTAACTTAACATCCCAAGCGGAAGGCAACAGATGGGTACCTGGGGGGGTCTGATGTGAGGGAGTTGTACAGCACTGTCATGTAGCGACCTACACTGTTGATCACCAGGGGTAGGTGGGGTTGCTGCAGGGACTTCCCTCCATTTGTATTGTTGTATGTATGTATGCATCCTTGTGTATCCACCTGTCTAAATAAGACATCTCTTTATACAACATAATGCCACCAACAATCAGAAAACAGTAAGATCATGTCATCTTGCCCTTGAAAGAAAACAATTCAATCTAACACTGATGGTACAGAACATGTGACACAGGTGGCTTTCATAGAATGCAAGAGCAGCAAAAGATGAAGCTGATTGTCAACTAACTGATAAGTCAGCTGAGCATAGGGTGGAAGTCCCATTGGGTTGAGTCCCAAAACAGATAAGGTTAGGCTAAATGTGGGTAAAACCCAGGAAAATATTCAACCCAATCATAAGACCAACCTTGTTAAGTAAAGCAGTGTTGGAAAACTTGACTTTTCCTGGTATAATGTATACCAGGAGATTTTGTACTCCAAGTTTGTGACTACGCAAAATGAAATATTTTGTACTCATTGTCATGATGCAACAAGAACAGCTTTTGGAAAAATTCAGTCTTCTTCTTTGTGTCAGGACTAAACAAAACCAGAAGGTGCAACAGCTTGAGACTTGCTGCTTCCATCAGGAGCCATGTATTGATATTTGCAAGAGCACAAATCATGCATCCACCAGACCAAGATGCCCAATAGCAAGCAGCATGTGTTGCCACCTAGGTATATGATAAACCATGTACGGAAATGTGAAAAAGTGTGTGAATGCTGAATGGAATCGCCTTTGAACAATACTGGGAAATGAGAAACAAGTACCACAACCACACCGGTCTTTAGATTAGCAAAGCTCTCCCGTTGTATGCCCTATGCAGACCAACTCAAACTTGAACATGACTTTACCTACTATTGACAACAAACCGCATTAATTGCCAAGAATGCAACAAACAGTCATAGAAAACCACACGCAATCACCCACCACAGATGGCCACCTACCCATGCGCCACCACTATGTCATGGCGATGGAAATAAGAGAACCACTGGCAATTCAGCATAGGAAACGTCTGGACTGTTCAGCGGCTTGCGCCCGCCTCCAGCTCCGGTTGGAGGTTGGACATAGCAAAACTCTCCAATTGGCCTTAATTATTTGCCTCCTCATGACTGATTTGTCAAGAGCATAAATATTCTGCTCATGCTCATGTCTTGAACAGATTTGTAAACATTTGGAGGGAAGCTGTATACAGGTGGGCATCACAATTATGAAGGACTTCTTCATACTCATCCAGAACCGCCATGTGGTTGGATATTTGGCCACTTCCTGGCATCCGGAGTACAAAAATAGTACAGCAGCTGTGGATTTAAACCAAGTTAAATTTGTCACTTAAGGGTGAGAATTTAGAGCTGGTAATCCAATTTTTACAAAAATACCCTTTCAAGTCTAAAGATGCTGCTACCAATAGCCAAAAAACTGATAGGAAACAGCCATCTCACTCCGGCAAAACACCAGGACACCAGAGCAACATAAGCCCATAACTTTGGCCCAGCGAATTACGGAGAAGGGTTTATTAGCACTAAAAACATCAATAAACTGCAACATAAATAATCATATTTCACAATGATATTGGTCAAGGCACATCAAAATCCATTAATACATTGCATTATCAGCTGGAGTCAGTTGAGTGACTGACTCCGATTCCTTTTGGCCAGCCTGCATGGGTCTTTAAGGCATTGCACTCGTGCTGGCTCTGTAGATTGGGAGTGCTGCCTGTCTCTATTGTTCAGTTGGGACATGTGGGGCCTGGTGTGTTGAATGGGAGTGGGGGGGGGGGGGGGAGGGTATGAGTGTTCAACTGCTTTTAAGGCCAGTTAGCTGGTAGAGCGTGGGTAGCGTGACTGTGGTGGAGCGTGAGTTGTGTCATTGTGGCGGAGCATGAGTAGGTGGCCCTGTGTGGTCTGTTAATTTGCTTTTTTTCTGTTTTTGTCTGGCCATGTGTATCATACTCACCCTCCATTTTGGAGGGTGTTTAAGCCACATGTAGCTGCCCTCCATTTTGGAGGGTGTATATGCAGAGCCTTTCATAAATTGCAGACCAATATATATGCACATGTGTTTCATAGAAGAGAATATGAGACTGTTGTTTTAGCATGCCATGTTTAATGATGCTTCCTTTCATTTAAAATGTTTTTACATGAATTGCTGAATATGAAGAGTGGCACTTTTGTTGAGAACCACCTCTTGTACTGTTATCTCTAAGACTACCTGAATAAAGTGTAATGACCCACAGCACTTGGATAATTTTGTACTACACTATAGAAAGTTTGTACTCTGCTACCAGGAAAATTTTGGGAATTTCAACACTAGTCAAGTCAAATGAACCTGGCATTTTTCTTGAGGAATTTGTTCTACTCAAACACATACTCCCATGGTGTGCATTATCACTATTGTGCATGGTGTTGCTACTATGACATCTTGTTAATGGACATGTGGCATGTCAGACTATCTTTTTGTCAGAATTGGTCTACAATACCTTGGAAACATGAGGCATGCTATGCTGCCACTAGTATGTTGTACAGATCATAAAAAGCAGAAGCATCACAGGTGCACACTTAAATCCTGACCTAATTAATTCAAAGCATAGTTTGGATATGCAACCCTCAATCATGACCCAACAGGCAGTAGTTGGACTGCCTGTACTCAATCTAATAAGGACTGGATCGCCTTAGTCTCCCTGTATGAGTCTTAGACATTGATGTCTCCAACCAGCTTTGGGCACCTGTAATTCATGCAATATTCCTTAAACTATGATGACATTTTCAACCCATTATTGCAAAAGGGAGCACAATTATGCACCACACTTTTAATGCCCATTAAATTGGTCAGCATCATATCACAAAAAACTTTTGTTGATGAAGAATCCAAAATACATGTAATGCCTTTTTCAGTCAGATGTGGCTTAAATAAAACATCCTATTGATAAAATGTCTAGCAATGACCAAATTGCATAACCTGGACTGCACACCACTCTATCAAATCTAAGCTTCATTTTGTGGACAACAAAAGTAGGATGCTTGCCTTATATATTGGTTAGACCTTATTTGAAAGCATATGCTGTACATGTCATTTTTTCTTGAGGGACAGGGGACAGGTCTCAGGTGACAACTTTCCTCTGGCGATACATAATTACCACTGTCCATCACAACCCATGCATAACACCGCACATTTGAATGAGATGACAGGGTGGATGCAAATGACGTTCGAAAAACATAGATAAAAAAGACGCCGTGAAATGTCGCAGCATTAACCTACTTCTTCCCGGCGCCTGATTTCTTCGTTTACTAGGTGTCTCAACTCGTCACATTCATCCCGTTTCTTTTCTAACTCATCCCTTGTCTGAGTCATTTTCTTCTTCAAAACTTCCAGCAGCGTAGCTCCCTGTCCGGCAGACATGATGTCCCGGGCTTGTGACACTCCACTTCGCACAATTTAACTCCGTAACCCCACGCGCCGGACACCACCCTGCCAATATGGTCGCCAATCGGTCACCAGTTTTCGCCACCACACTACAACCGTAGCGCAACCGAAGTAGTGCGCAAAAAAACAGTTGGATTTACCGACCCAAAGCCGATAAACAACATAGCAATTGCTTATGTATTGAGTGTAATGTCATTTATTTTTAGCTTCTGCAAATAGGTTAAGGCCAACAAATAAACATAATTGATAATTATGACTTAAATAGGTCATGAGCATGGCTTGATTCATCGGTCTTAATAGCAGAGGTATGGTTTCCTTTCCACATTTTCAGTGAACATTGTTTCATTCTGAAGGCCTGGTTCATTTATACCCCAGCACGCGTCTTCCTTTACAGAAAGTACATGCACGACACAAGAATATTATTAGTTAATGGCCGCGGTGATCGCAAACGGGTAAAGCGAGCGTTAGTAGGTAGATCTCAGTATTATACTATAAGTAAACTAGCTTTGCGATTAGCAGTTAGCATCTCCTCAACTTCTACCGCGAATTTGGTAGCCTACATTTGCAGGCAGTATGGCGCAGACGTTTCGATAGTGAATGTATTTTCGTTACGCGTTTTTAAGACACTGATTTCGACGCATTTTGATCCGTGTGCTACGCTTGCCGGGGACGCACTTGAGGGCATACGTGTGAGCGAGGAACGCGTGTTTGAGAACGAGTGCTGCGTGGAGGTAAGCCCGATGTAAAAAAGGTTTCACGTACTGTAAAGGAACTGAGTCTTAAGGTGATTCAGTTGAACTTGTTTGGGGTCTTGAATGCTGACCGCCGATCTTCGGCAAGCACTGCATCGAGGTACCGCAACTGACCACCTTTTTGCACCCATACCGTCCCATTTATCCCACCTGATTCTGACCATCATGAACCTAGCATAGACCTGTTGTATTGGAGATGGCTGATGCACTTCAGTTGATGTAGAACATAATCACTTGTCTCTGTAGTCATAATTTTGAATTGGAACAGGTCAGTGGGGACAAGGTGTCATATTGTGAGCACAACTCAACAAAAGTTGATAATGTGTGCCCAGCCAGTTCTGGTGCAGCTCACAAGATGTGATATGCTCAGAACAAGCCAAATTACTAGCACATCACCTGAATGTGAAGCAACAAGGTTGATGTGCCTGGTTCATTCATAAGCCAAAGTGCTATATATATATATATATATATATTTGAATTTGTAATTTATGTATACATATTTGGCATATGTATACATCCATGAATTTGTTGCATTATCTATGGATACAAAAAATACCTGAATGAATAGATTTGATTTGTTATTGCATGCTATGTTAAGAAAAGTCTTAATATGTACCACTTCAATGTACAGTAAGTACCCAACATGAACAATAATATGTTATTTGCACATGCAGTGTTCCATGAAAGTTTTTTTCTCAGGCACACAGTTTGTTCATAAGCCAGACCCTAACTCACGTAACATCATCCTTGTTCTGTGTAATCAAAATTATGCAGTCACATTCCTCAATGTATATATAAGAATCTCCATCAATCTGAACTCAGGGTTTAGTGACATCACACTGACACCCCGTATCTGAAACCCCACTCCTAGAGTGAGCACTGTTTATGATTTTGGTCATAAGCTGTGATCAAGTTTTTGATGATTTTAGGCTCTGCTTGTGTTGAGCTGCCATTCTTTCATAACATTGGTGGTATTATTGCTGCACACCTGTATTGTGTTGCATTCTAATCACTGTACTTATTGCTCTGCAATAAAATAGCAGAAAGAAGCAATTGTTTGTTTTTATGTCATGTGGTCTTAGCAATTTTTCAGTATGGCATTTTACAATTACTTGATATTTGATATTTGCAATTTTAGTCAGCAGTGAAATATGTTATGTTCCAGGATTCATCAGTGGTTGATGCATTGAAGATCAAGAACACTACTATGGCTCCAGGGAGATTTAAATTTGCAGAAGGTATGTGTGCAAGTGATGTCAACCCAATTCACAGTTAACATTTTGTATTCTTGAACACCAGACTAAGTATATTTCATCAAAAACCTTGCTTCTTGATAGTAAACTTTCTGGCTTCTATTAGGCTGTAGACAATTGCACCCAAGGCTATTTTTACTTTTTAGACACATTAGGGATATGCTCATGATCGAAGCATTCATTGTATTGATAATTTTGTAGTGTTCTATTTTAGACACAAAAAGGATGAATATAACCTGAATAACCAGGCAAGATCTTCCAGTCTCTTTTGGGTCTTCTGGAGTGTGGCAACTCAAAACACCCAAGGTTAAGCATTCCAGAAAGAAGCTGAAATCTATGGTTTAATGATGCAGTATGTCATGAATTTGGTATTGTGTATGCATATGTATGAATGCATTATTGTTTGACTTGGAAATTCATCCTATTCTTAGGATGATTGCCTGAAAGCCATGAGGCCACAATGTATATTGTGTAAATTGTTTTATTCTTTAGATGATAACTTCAGTTTAACAATACCTACCACCTAAGTGTGCTGTTTCTTTGGCCTGATCATTGGCATGCTGGATTGTCATTTCTAGTGCTGTAAGGTTTTTCTGTGTATCATGTTGCATTTGGCTATTCTTAGTGTTGTTTTTCAGGGGAAAGAGTCTTATGCTTCCATGGACCACTGATATATGAGGCAAAGTGTGTCAAGACAAGAGTCAAGGACCAGAAAAATCAGTATTTGGTGCATTATGCAGGTTGGAACAAGAAGTGAGTACAGCATTTTCACTATATCTAATGGTTTGTTTTCCATTAACCCACAAGGGGGGCGAAGTTGGCCTCCCCGCCTGCGTTTTTCGAGCACAGGTAAAAAGCAAATGCTGGCAGCAACATGAGCCTGTCTGATGGGAGTACTAGCTTGATGAGACCTTCAGAAACAGTATATTTGTTATCTCATATGGCGTATGGAGGTCGGAGATCCGAGGAGGAAGTCAACTTCCCGTCCCCCTCCCCCCCCCCCCCCCCCCCCACCAGCTGGGCATAGGTTAAGTGTCACTCGCACTGTAAAAACGCCAAAAATGCATTGTGTAGTGCCCATCTATTCATAGATTTAATTCCATTCATGCGATGAATAGCCTGACCATTTATCCGGCGGTATAGCCACTGTGCCCGCCCGAAAGCCCTTCTCCTGGCCCTGCTCGCTGATCGTGCCGCGGGGATCCAGAAGGGAGCCGTGATGAGAACCGTTTCATACCGAGGCGACCAGTGTGACAAGAGGCGGCCGCACCAGCTCCCGTTACCAACTTGAACGCCACGAACTGCACCGATGTTGTTAATTGGCCGTTAGAGGTAATAGCAAAGTCCGTGTCGCCCAACATCACAGAATCGTAGACTGCTAGTCACACGCTTCCCTCGTGTCCAGCGCAGAGAGTACACATAGAAGCCGTAGAGCGAGGAGCGCAGCTCTTCATGCGGGTGGCGTCTGCTCTGGTGTCATGGAAACACGCTATGAGTGCGCATGCGCGAAAATGCGACACCGGGAGAGCGTGCCCTTGCTTGAGTTGAAGCAGGATTTAGTTTTTGATGGTGTTGCTGTTTTAAGGTGGGCACGACTTTTATCGTTTTTCGGCGTTGAGGTTATTGGCCTTGTCTTGTAACTTCTCGGAACGATATGATCGCCACTTTAAATCCAATGCGGGGGGCTTGACCGTCTTTGGGAAAGGCTTGGTTGGGGTTGACACGAACACAGCGCGGCTGCTGGAGCGGTTGCGGAGACTGCCCATTCTATGATAATGTCCATGCCAAACTGCTGACCACCTGTACTGTGTGGGAAGGAAAGACAGCCGGCATAATGTTTTAGTACGTTCTTCGTATCCACCTCGAACTTTTTGTACATTCTTATTGCATTATATTATATTATATCTTATTTTTATCTTCGTATCTTTTGTTTCCCCTCTAAATAACTTGAAACGTCTGCCAGGCGGTGGGTTTAGATAAACAGAAGTTCTTGGAGAGACAGACTAAGCTGATGCTGCAACAATGAAATTGAAGTGCGTGTAAGAAACTTCGGACGGACACTCCCCATTATGATCCCAAAAATGAAAAAAACGCAATGATTTTGTAATGATATAGAGCCCACTAATGTAGCTATTCATCTCAAGCGTTTTTTGCGACCCGACACAATGTGTATGCATGCTGCAATGCGTTTCCCGAAATACTGAAACGCCACCCTGTCGATAAGTTTCGAACGAGATCCATGAGGACATACACCAACGGGTGGAAATAAACATAATGGAGTGGACATGTGTACATACGAAACAAATCTCGTGCCTAACACTGAATGTTTGTCAGCTGATAAGATCTATATTTCAGTGCAAATGTGATATGATATGAACGTGCTCGTTTCGTTTTCATCAGGACTGGATCATTGTGTTCGTTTGCTTTCAGTTGGGACGAGTTTGTGCCAGAAAACAGAATTCTGAAGTACAGTGAGCCGAATCTTCAGAAGCAGAAGGAGCTGAAGGAGGCTCATTAGTACGTACCATATTATAGCTTGCTTTGATCCATGACTCGCATAGATATATATTGTGTTGCTTTAGCCACAATTATCTCCACATTCACAACTTCTTGTGTAGCAGTTCCAAGCCTGAACTAGTTGAAGCTACCTTTGGTTGGAACCGGTATACGTGAAGGTCCAGGTCCAAACACAAACGTTTTCCGCAGGGTGTGCGTCAAGCGCGCATCCGCTCGCAACTGTGCGCTTGTGCCGATGTAACAATATTGCTCTATGCCGTCTGATTTCAACCTGGTGTAGTGGGGAGGGGCGGTGTCTTCTCAGACGGCTATACACGTGGCCATGTGATAACTTCCTCTGGCAGCAGGACCTGCGACTGCGTGTTTAGGATGGCCTTCTGCCATCGTCACATTGGACCTGATGAACAGGGTTATCTTCACTGCCAGTGTTACGTAAGGCTGGGCACAGGCGGCCTCGTATTCTGCCGCGCTAGCTCTTGTGACTTGTCGAAGTAACACGCTGCCCTGATGGTATCCAACGTCTGCTCTCCGCCACAGTGCGAACGTGCAGGCCAAGAAGCAGATCAAGTCTGACGTCAAACGGCGCCGTGCCGAGGCGGCCGCCGCCGCCGCCGCCGCCGCTGCCGCTGCTGCCGCCGCCGCCGCGCTGCCGGCGCCGGCCGCAGCGGCCGCCCCGGAACGGGCCGAGCCCGGCGGCGCCGGACGGAAGCGCGAGCCGTCCGTGAGTAGCGTGCAGAGCAGCGAGGACGGCCGGCGCCGGCGCCGGCTCGACACACCCGAGCAGGTGAGCTACCCTCCCCTCCCCCGCCCTCCCCCGCTCACCGCCGCCGCGGCACGCAGCCCCGCCACACTCGTGCGGCACAGGGGATGTGGGTGCCGAATGGGGGGGGGGGGGGACGTGCGTCATCGCAGGGTGCTACGGCGAAGCGCTGCCACTGCGTAATGGTACAGGCTCGAACCTTTTGACCTGCAGCGTACAGGTGCTCATCTCCCTGTGATCAGTGGGATACAGCCGCAGGCAGCTAGTTGGGCAACGAAAGATGCCTAAGTCTGTTCTCAGTCGTCCATCGTCATCGTGTCACCAGGCGGTCGGTCAGTCCGTGATCCCCTGCGAGCGATCCGAGCCGGCTGATGGATAGCGGCAGGGCCCGGCGACAGTTTTGATACCAGCCGCTTACCGCATATACCATGCGTCTCCCAGTTTTAGCACCCCTCGGTCGGTGGAAGGAAGCCACTCAGTTACTCATGCCATTTTCGACCAGAAACGGGTTGTGAAATGCCCCTGGCTCAACGGCCGATTTTAGGGGATCATTATTCGTCGGGGTGTGTGCGTGAGAAGGTGAGCCAAGAAAGGAAACTGAAAAAACACGATGCCGTTGTCCGCGGGAGGGCTGTCGGTATGCTGCGTGTCGGAAGTCCCACCTTGAATTCGCTGGGCTTGTGGGGGCATCCGTCATCATTGGGTCTCTTTCCTGGGTTCGCCGTTTGCCATAACGCTAACGGATGGGACGGCAGGATACGATCCCAAGCTTCATCATTTCCAAACTAAAAGAGGTAAAGCCTCGCCAGCCCTCCCCCCCCCCAAAAAAAAATCAGTAGATTGTCCTCAGCGAGATGCCGCGATCGGTTGCAAGTTTTTGTTTTTGATTATTTGTTGACCCCACTACGCCTGGGCCCAGTTCTCCATAGACCCACGACTCAAGCTCCGCCCACTAAGGTGGTAACCTGTGGTGTCTACAGATATGCGCCAATGAAGAACACCTTTAATTCTAAATGTTGGCAACAAGTAGAATGAGAGGGTTCAAGTCCATGAAAACATAAAGCGCGCGGGAATGGTGCACTGGAATTTTATTCGATTGAACAGTTATTGCAGCTAAAAGTATTAATGTCCATCATATTGCCCACATGTGATCGAGACCTGCTATTTCCCCGACGGAATGGGCTCAAAAAGTCTTAGTAGTTGTTGGCGCAACCTAGAAACCCAAGCATCATCATCTTGCCTGGCATACATACGCATGTCGGGCAAGATGCTAGGAATAACTATGTAAACTTCGAATGCTTACTTGTAAACATATTCGCTTACTTAACTTCGGTCAAGTTCGGATAAGCCCTGGGCCTTGCCGTCATAGGTAAGTCAGATAGCTACGTTTTGCATGAAATCAGCTTAATCCAAGCAGGGAACGGGTTTCCGTTTGCCAATGAAGAGTGCGCCTCAGTTCAAAGGTCAACCATTACCAAAAATGGGAGTGTTTCAACTCTGCATGCCAATGGGTAACCCTGCCATGAAATAAAACGAAGCAATTTGTCCCCGGGTTTGGTCCATTTGCTTCCCAACGGTTTGGAGGGAAAGCCCCAACAGAATAGGAAACTGCATCCCCGATGGTGAGGGCTAAATGTGAGTGAAAAATCTGGCGTGAGCGATTCAGGCGGGCCCGCACCAGAGCGTCCTCCAGTCATGTCGGTAGCGACCGAAACCGCTCGGAAGGTGGCATCGGTAAGAAAAGGCCGTTTGCGACACGCAAAAAGAAAATGCAAGAAGCGTCGGCCAACTCCGTCGAATCTTGGATAGGTTTTGCACCGCAATCATCTGCCTGCGCACGCACACATGTGTGTTTTGAGTTCCGTTTTAAAGCACAGCTTTAAATCAGCGCAGTGCATGTAGTGTCTTACCGATGTTTGCCCCAATTATCAAAGCTGCTACCTTTTTGTACCTTATGTATTTCAAAGAACTTTGTCACAATTTAACGATTCCGTATCTTTGTTTTGTGGCTGACGGCTGTGCAATGCTGTGGCGTCTTCCGCATCGCGGTACCCTTGGAAAACCTGCACTTTGAGGAACGTATATGTGATAAGACAGCGCACTTAGTACACAACCTGTGCGTGCGGTGATCATATGAGAAACAACCAATACAGTTATGGGCGGCACAAAATGACCGAAGCAGTCGTAGCGCTCATGAGATCAAATGTCACTATCACCCCCGATCGGTCCCTGCGCACCGGCTCAGAGGGTAGGGTAAGGTTGAAATGTCGCGTGCGTAGGGGGAAAAGGGTATGGAGGTAGTAGCTGTGTGGTGGTACAAAGTCGTAGCTGTGCATGAAATGGGGTTAGTTCTTTGTGAAGCCAGATTTGGGTCTTACCTGTGTGCTGTTTCTATGGTTAACTTGGAGCGGATATTTTGTGCGTGAGTGTCGGATGACTGGTTTGGTATGGTATGAATGTTAAGTAAAGCTCAATTTACTCAATTTCCTCCCAGAGGGAACATTTTTACATATGGTTCCTCGACGACAACCAATGCGAAAAGGGGAAAGAATGACATACAGAAAGGTGCGGTGGTGGAGACAAGACCTTTGCGCCTTATATGAAAACGGCACAGGGTGTCATAATTTTGGCGGGTACGAACTTCTCCGGAAGAGTAGTTTATTACGAGAACAGCAGATCCTTATCACGAAAGTAATAGACGAAAAACTTTGATTGCTGTTAGTGTGATCCACAGTTACCTATATTGCTAAGCAGGAGTTTCATTTGGGGGAGGGTGGGGGTGGGGGGGGGGGGGGTATGATATCGAACAAAGTGTAACTCCCGCGATGGTCCGCGTCGAGTTCTTGCCCCTCCCCCCCCCCCCCCCACGGCGACGTTGCAGGTATCAGCGGTCTTCATATGCCATGGGCTGCTTGCTTGCTGCTGAGTTGCTTCCGCCCTCGTCTCCGGTGATGTCGCGTGGTGAATGGCTTTGCGGTTTGTGGCGGGTGAAACCTATCACGCACAGCCCTTCAGTACCGGACGCACACGTTAGGTGACAATTTGACAATTTTGCAGGCGCCCAAAACTGTGGAGGACAAGAAATTGGTGGACTCGTCGTCTGAAACGGTGAGTTACGACACTACTGATTTGTGCAGCGGATCATTAATGAGCAAGTTTTGCCTTTTCACCGAGCCTCCAAGAAGGCACATCACAGAGGTCGAGGAGGACGGAGGTGAACTTCTGCTTATCACTGTTCATTAACCTTAAGCCGTGTGCTTTGGAGCTTTAGGCTGTCGCTTCCCGCTGTCCTGGGCGTCATACGCTTCAGCATTATTTCAGCATGCAATTCGCTTAGATGGATCGGATCCCGTTTTAAGCGCACATTGAGGACGTATGAATGGCATTGATACCACCTCAGTGGTGTCGCAGTCGTCACTAATTCTGTGCCTCTATTATGGATCATAAGATGCTCCACGGGCACGAACCCCGGGGTTTGGGTATCATAACTGTGTCGTAGGCTGCTTTTCGCCTCCATCATGTTTCATGATATTGATAGTCCTTCTCCCATTGTGAAGCATCCCGTTGGTGACTGGATGCTTAAGTCGTGAGCTGAAGGTGCTGCGTGACTCGCGGTCGACTCCTTCCGGAACTGACTCGTCTGTGCTGACGTTCCCAGGCGTCCGATACGGAGGGTCGCAAGCGCGGGAAGCAGGAGCAGACCGTGGAGACGGTAAGCCCGCCAGATAGAGGCAGCCTGATCTTGCGGTGTTAACTTAGCAGCGCGCTGGAGTGTATTTCCCAGCGGGTGCGTTCCGTCTCGTTTTGATGTTTCACCCTGGTATGGACTGAGAAGTCTTTTAGTACCCTTGTGACCCTCTTTCTTCATAT